TTGCAATCTTATTTATTTAATAATAATAATAATAATAATAATGTTTTAATACTAATAAGTCTGGCCGGCAAGGGTACCGTAGCCAGCAGTATACCTACCGCTATCGTATGCGGAAACGGTACTGCCAGTATCGCTGACCTATCCTAACCTTCTATCTTGCCACGCTATGCTAAAATTCCACTTACCCTTATCCTATCAACCTTCTCCAACCTGGCAGTTAGGTATAAAATGTAACCAAACCTATGGTAAACATGGTGAATACAAGAAATAAACGATATTCTGAGGGCGAGGGGGGACAGCGGGCTGGTCCCCTTCGGAATCGTCCAAATCCGCAGCCTGTCGAAGGTGTCAGCATGGCGGATGATGCTGCCCCGAGATCTACACTCACCCAAACGCAAGAAATAAGACATCCTCCATCTTCAAGTGCTGAACCGGACACACCTGTTCCCACCGAAGATGGTACGAACCCAACGGTACGTCGCAAGAAATGGACCAACGCCGAAAACAGTGAAATCATGCGACTGTACTATAAAGTTACTAACCTGGAGACGGACTTTACAATGTACCGTGGCAAATTGTATGCACAATTTATAAAGGTTTTCCCAAACCTTAAACACTTAAGTGAGCAACGCATCGCAGATCAACGCAGGACCATAGTAAGTAGGAATCTTCTTTCTCAAGAGACACTGGCCAGAATCAAGGAACAAATAAGACTAGAAATCAACCCAGAAACAACTATTGACATACCGCCACAACCACCGCAGAGCGAAAGCATACGTGAAGCTGAGACAGAGACTGCACTACCGACAGAGATTACACTACCTACCGAACAAACCCAATTGGATTATCTATACGAATCAAACCTAATTAAGTTTTATGGCTCCAATCCCAACCTCAGACCATCACTTCCGAAAATAAAATACACAGCACAAACAACAACAATCATCGAGAGAGTTAACGCTATCCTATGTGATAAACTGAAAACCAGTTTCAATTTAGAAGAAATACATGTACATATATACTGTGCGGCCCTAACTTGTCTTACACAAAATGGTCAAGATGTAGCCCAACGTCCTAAGGAAAATAAGAAACCTATACCACCCTGGGAAAAAAGAATGTCTGACAAAATCAGCAGATTACGTAGAGACATAGGTCGCATGCAACAACTTTCTAAAGGAAACGATAGTGAAACCCTTTTAAAGAAGATATCAGAAGACATAACGACTAGATTCCGTCAACTAAGCGGCCAAACCCAGAAAGACTTTGTTATCGATACTCTAGACTCATTAAAACAACAGCTAGCAGTACATACAGACAAACTCAAACGGTACAAACGAAGCCACCTACGACGGATGCACAACGCCCAATTCACCCAAAACGAGGGTGCTTCTACCGCAACCTTGGAAATAAGGCAAATAAAGAAAACCCCCAACATCCAAATGCCATAGACTCAAACCAACTAAATCAATACTGGAACAACATCTGGTCGTCTCAAGGAGAGCATCAAATAAATGCCGCATGGATAAACCAGGAGCGTGAAAAACATCAGAACGTAAGAATGGAAGACACAATAATTACCTTGCGCGACGTTGAAAGTGCAATAAAAAAATTACCTAATTGGAGAAGTCCAGGGCATGACGGAATTCACAACTTTTGGCTCAAGAAATTTTCCGCTACTTACAACCACCTAGCGAGAGAATTTACTGAAACTTTGATTGACCCCAATAAAATACCCGTCTTTCTAACGGAGGGAATTACTCACCTTCTACCAAAAACAGAAAACCCAGATAATACTTCCCAATATCGACCCATTACCTGCCTTCCATCAATTTATAAGATATTTTCAAGCTGCATTAGCAGTAAAATATATATCTACCTGGTCACCAATAACATCCTACACGAAGAGCAAAAAGGTTGCAAAAGCAGGGCAATGGCCTCTAAGGTACAGCTTGTAATAGACTCGGTTGTTTTGGAACAAGCCAGACATAACAAAAGAAATCTCTTCATGGGCTATATTGACTATCAGAAAGCGTTCGACTCCATACCACACAGCTGGCTGTTGCAAGTTCTAGAAATCTGCAATGTTGGCTCCAAAATCTGCCGATTCTTTAAGGAGACCATGCCTTCATGGACAACCTCCCTCAACTTCAGGTCTGCTCCCTTTGACATAACATCGCCAAAAATTCCAATTCGTAGAGGGATATTCCAAGGGGATTCTTTTAGCGCCCTTTGGTTTTGTCTAGCCTTAAATCCACTATCGCGGATAATCAATGAAACAGGTTATGGATTCTCACTACGAACGAGAAACAGACGTCATCTCATTACACACCTACTATACATGGATGACTTGAAGATATATGCTGCAACAAAAAACCAACTTGAAAACCTTCTGCGTACCGTTCATAAAATCAGCGCAGATATTGGAATGACCTTTGGTACGAGCAAATGTCAGACTGTTTCAATCATAAGAGGAAAACTATGCGAAACACCAGAATTGAATCTAGATGAGAAAACTATTATCTCCGCAATGTCGACTGAGCCGTATAAATATCTTGGAATGCTACAAACACACAAAATAGAACATGGAATTATTAAAAACCGCCTATCGACCGCCTTCCGACTGCGACTTACCTCCCTTCTAAAGACAGGTTTGAATTCTAAGAACCTCTTTAAAGCAATAAACACTTATGCCCTACCGGTTCTTACATATTCTTTTGGAATAGTCAAATGGACCCATACAGACTTGGAATCCCTAAATCGTCTGGTACGAATAACCTTAACCAAATTTAGAAATCACCACCCAAGAAGCGCTACGGAACGGGTGACCCTCCCTCGAAATCTTGGAGGTAGAGGTTTACTGGATGTTGTTAATGTCTGTCGGGAGCAAATAAAGAGCCTCAGAGAATACTTTTATACCAAGAACAGCAACCTTTACGTCACGGTGTCTTCAGCTGATGTCAAATACACCCCCTTGAACCTCAGTAGAAACAATATGGTGCTTTTCCAACTCCTACATCAATCACTAATAAAATAGCTACTTGGGGAGCCAAGGAGTTACACGGACGGTACCTAAATGAGCTAGATCAACATCACATTGAAAAGGTGGAATCATTGCACTGGTTAACATCGGGTTATCTCTACTCAGAAACCGAGGGATTCATAGTGGCTATGCAAGACCAAGTTATTCCAACACGCAACTACCGGAAACTCATCCTAAAGGAGAATATATCAGACAAGTGCCCTAGATGTGATTCTGGAAGTGAAAACATAGAACACATTTTATCAGGGTGCAGTAATCTTGCGAGTACAAAGTATCTGGAAAGACACAACAGAGTCGCATCAATCATCTACTTGGAGATCCTCAAACAATTCAACATTGACCGAGAAATCCAAGAGCCCTACTACAAATATCATCCACATCCATATCATAAAATATACTGGGATAAAACAATCTTAACAAATAAAACCGTTAGAAGTAACAGACCGGACATCACGCTTATAAATAAAATTAAAAAAACAGTTTTACTAATTGATATTTCTATTCCTAACAACAACAATATACAAAGCAAATTTACAGAAAAAATAACAAAGTATCAAGATTTGAGAATAGAAATAAAAAATATATGGCAAATGGAATCGGTCCAGGTAGTCCCCTTGATTGTCTCAGCCATTGGAATTATCCCGGTCAACCTGAAAGAACAATTAAAAGTAATTGGAATACCTGAAAATACTCACCGCCTAATCCAGAAATATGTGCTGCTTCATGCTGCTAACATTGTTCGTTCCTTTCTAGGTGATTAACAATAGCACCTTATCTTCTTATATCCCCATGGACTGATAAGGCAGCTTTAAACCTGTTCTGAGCAGTGAAAAAAAAAATATTTTAAATTTATATTACCAGGTGCGTCTCAAAAGTGGCTCATAAGTTTTTTATTTTTTCAGATAAACGAGATTTGGTATGTTAGGGTGTATTCTGTTGCGTACCTTTTTTATGGTTTTATGTTACGTTTCTATCGGTTTCCTGAAAGTTTTCTTATTACGGAACACGGTTCCTAAAAAATTCGGTTAACTGTCACCAAACTAACCAGCGCGAGAAGGCTGGTTTTCTGGTCTTGTTTTTCAATCAATGTCATTTATGTGACAGAAACCAAGCAAATATTGGAAGTTCGAGTGACATTCTCATTTAATTTCTATAATTTGTAATAATATTTTGTATATACATCCAAAAGCAGTGGAGGTAGGCAGTAAAGCTAAATAAAATTACTTTTTGGGACCATTTAAACTTATCATGCAGCTATTGTCTTTTAAAGTCAGGAACATTTAAAGAAAATATGAAAAACAAGAAAGCAAGTAATCGTGATTGTTTTGTAAGCTATAAAAATATAAATATTTATTAGATTTGTTTATTTATTATTGAACTGTTTTAATATTGGACCTGCAAATCTTCACTTGAGCTGTCTAACGAGTTTAACAGTTTATTAATAAAGTACTTTTCAATATTAAACTCCATTGAAAAGAAGAAGCAAACGTAAAAGCAGAGAATAGGTACATTAAAAATGCATAAAAGATAAATTTTATTATAGAGGTATTGAAATTTAGAAAACGTCAATATTTGAATTGTTGATTTTTTTTAGAAAGCGTCAACATTTGAATTGTTTGAATTCTTTGAAGTTTCGGAATACAGCCTTAGTATATGAAATAAATTAGGGTTGATTATTTTCGGTCACATTCTGCTTCACCGGAAATGACTACAACTTTTGATTTTTAAATGACGCCCTCGGTATTAATTAAGATTAGGCAGCGAGGACAAGACACGATTGTCATTCCTCAGCTGTCTTTGACGCCGCTTTTTTTCGATCGTATGGTATTTCATAGTTGCGTTCTTTTCAAAAGTAATAATTATTTAATTTCCTTCCCTATTCAAGTTTTATTCATGATAGTATATAGTAGTTTTATTGATGATGTTCAATGAAAACTATATTTAAGATTTTTTTTTATAGACTTGCCTGACAGAACAAGAAGAAGCTACCCAGGGAATAGAGGGCGATATTGAAATGTACGGTACCAAAGAATTAGCATACTACATGACGCTGTTTGACTGGGATTTATTTTGGTAAGCCAGGTATAAGTTATCTTAATAAATAAGATTCCTTTTATATTAACACTCTAACACGCATACCGTGCTGGCAACTGTTACTTTTGGGTCGGAACTTACACGTGTGGAAGTAAATCGCATAGGGATCTTAGTAAGTCAGAGTGAGAGAAATGCGACGGTGTGCTGTTGCGGCGTTGCCGGTACGCCTTTCCCTGTCAGGTAAAGTAAAATCAGGATCGCAAACCGCTTATTTTTAAACGACTTTTTTTCGAAAATATAACTAGATAAAAGCATTAGATATGTTTCTAAGCATCTGAAATAGAATTATAAAGATATCGTTAGGGTAATCAATTATTGTTAATAGATTTTGAGATATCGATTCATTTTGAATTCAGAGTTCTAATAGCGCGACCACTGCCGAATACCAACTCAATTCCACTTATTTTTACCAAAAATGCAAGTGTTTCTAACTTGCACTTAAAAAATTTCAAGCTCTGGGGAAAATTACAAAGATATAATAAATAAACAAAGTATCGCGAGACGTAATTAAATAGTGAAACTGAACGCATGATGTACACCTTTCCCTAGAACTTTAGGTACTAATGATTGGGTCGACCGGTGGACTGCGACAAATCTGCTATATCCCCTTCCACGTCTCTTAGGAATGTGCGCGGTTTCTCGGTTTATTTCGTGCATTTGGCAACGTGTTTACTGTTCTCTCTTTGTTCATTACATTATAAACGCATTGTACTCTTCTTACATACGGAAATCTCGGCCCAAGACTAACCTTTGCCAGCCCTTAGTATACTAGTATAAAGGCGCATTCTCACGACTCGTGTACTTGACAAACATTTGTAATTGGTATACAGGACATACACGGTACCTCGGGCATTTATACAGAATTTCTGAGTTATTTATTTTAGGAACTGCGCCGCATTCCTGCCAGACCCTGTATGCCTACAAAAAATACTTGCCAAGTACACGAGTCGTGAGAACGCATCATAAGATAAGGTAACAAGCATAGATATGAATCTTTAGTAAAGAATTAGTACTAGCCTGTATAAACTTCAAGCTTAACCTAAACCCAATTTCTTTTATAGAAGATTTGACATTAAGTTCAAACTGTCTTTATAACGGTGTATTGCAAATAATGAGAGTTTAAGTAGTCATAGACCAAGGACTGTATATTATATTCTAAAGGACTGTTCGATCGCGTCAAATCGCCGCTATCGTAGTCAACGTGGATGCTTACGTCACGCAGGGACCAGCGCTCCACAGTGCGGCGGATGGTTATTCTAGTGGGACAAAATCTCAGGAGCGATATTTGGGACTTAAAATCTAAGAACGTAACAAATGGTCTAATATATAGTAACCATATGGTTAAATTTATATATTTATTAACAACTTAATTTATTAATAAATAAATAAATACAAGATTATAAAACTATGATATTATTCGTACATGACACACAAAAACCGTACTGTAAACTATTGCCAAATACATAAAATTATGATATGAGATGAAATACTTACAAAAAACTATTTAGCAGTTATTTTTTAATTACTTTGTAATCTTGTGATACCCTGTATACTTTATTTTAAAAAATTCTAGTTTATTTTGAAAATAGCCTCGAAAATAGCAAATAAGATATTTTAATTTTAACACTCGGTAATTATAAATTCATAAATAGTAAGTATCTAAGGCAATTTTTTAAACTTTTATTAAAACTAGTAATAATCATTTAGTTTTATTATAAATTATCAGAAAGTAAAAAAGGTTTTAGCATATCGTCATGCTTTATTTAATTACAACATCATTTGGATGTTTTTGTCTAGAGGAAAATTGCCGAACTGACTATTGATGTCATTCATTAGCTGCCCATACACGGAAAGGCCCGGCCTACGGACTTGGCCTTGGGTCCGGGCCTTTAACCCAAAATATCATAGGTTTGCGTTAAAGGCAAAGTCCGCGGATATAATTCCGCTATGGTAATTTGGGTGAAAGCCTCGGCCTCAAGGCCAAGTCCGAAGGCCGGGCCTTTCCGTGTATGGGCAGCTATTAATTTTTTAAACTCAGTGCATCTCAGTACCTTTCGATGGAGTTAAGGCTTCAACAATTACAGCAGCATCGTTACTACTTACTACCACTAGCCCTAAAGCTCATAGTACTTGTAAAACCCAATTCTTCTTTTGAATGCTCTTCAATTAACCCTTTAACTCTCTCTAACCTTAAGTCTTTGTTTCGTTTTTAATACTATCCGATTGAAATGAAACTTTTGGGTATTCACCTGTTAAGCTTGATCTCCTTGTGACTGACTACCTGTGTTGGTAACTATTAGTAACTCAAAAGATCTACATCATTCAATATTTGAAAAAAAGTGAAAATTTGATATTTGCAGAATAAATGCACGAAGGATTTTAACAAATAATATACCTACAGTAGAAAAGTACATACCTTTGACAATCTTCAACACAATTTGGCTTTGGAATAAAATGTATAAGCACTTTTAAATATTTTGTTTTCGTATGACCTCTGCCTTGCTGAGCAGAAAACGATCAAATTTGGTTGATAAAAATGTATCGAAATACAAAGAATGTATAGGTCCAAAAAATAATTCATGCATTTTTATATCAATTGGTATTTATTCTTATCAGTACACATTTTTGGCTTATTCCTAACCAAACGGTTTTGTCCCGCTAGATTTATCTTCCGCCGCACTGTGCGCTCGTCCGTCAAACTCAAAAATAACTGTCACTATGCTGTCACTGTCTAAAATCTTTAGCGCGAACTTCAACTCGGTCCCTAGAAAACGTAAAAAAACTGACAGTGCAGGAAGATAGAAATCGAACTATCCTTATCTCTATAGTATCCTTTGTCACAGACCACTTAAACTCTAAGTATCAATAGTATATCAAGAATATAACATACCGAGTTTGGTTTGGTTGGTGCATCGTCGCTGGAAACATAGGAAATCCCATTCAAATTTTGATAAGAACGAATAATGTACTTACAGTTTAAACTGCTTTTATTTAAAGCTGAAAATAATAAAAACTTCAAAAAAAATATGCATATGCATTATTCACTTTAATGAAAAATACAAAAATGAGAAATTCATATAGTGACATAAATAACTAACAATAAATCAAAATCGGTAATAGGCGATTTCGCTTGTTTTCGTAAACCAAACCAACTTCGAAAAACAACCTCTTACTAAAAACACTGCTGCAAGGAGCGGAAAAATATATTTTCGCAATTTTCGTCAAATTGAGTTAGTGGTTTGCGTTATCCGACCACCAACTGTAAGGATCCCGGCTGTGATGAATTCGAACTGTTTTCAAGTAGTAGTCGATCCCGCTTGCAATTGGGGTTTTCTCTTGATCGTACCATTGACATGAAGTTTTCGCCTATTTACCATAGACAGAATATTAAATTGATTTAAATATGGCGTAATATGTGTACGAAATGAGATATTATACGAAAATCTTATGCAGGAATTTTGAAGTTTTTGAATGGATATGGCAACCATTTGAGTCAATGAAGAGCCGTATACCACATCTCCGTAATCAAACAAGGACAAAATTAGCGAATTGCAAGATAATATTTTGTATTCTGAGTATCTAGAGTCAAAATATATGCCGAGATTTCTAGCGTCCTTAACTATTGGTATTTTAGTATTATTAACACATATATCAAGATTGTCTGATAGATAATTGAGAATAGTCTGATTATTTCCAAGCAGCATAATACACGATTTGGATGCATTTAATTTTAGATTATGATCCATTGAATATTTGTATATGTTACTAATATCTATTTTAAAATTTTCTTCAGCTTGTTTTAAATTATCAGATGCGAAAGCACAGTAAATTTGTGAATCGTCTGCATACTGTTGTAATGTAGAAAACTCTATTTCTTTATTCATATCGGCAACATATAATGAAAATAACAATGGCCCTAATATGGATCCTTGAGGAATTCCACATGTCATAGAAACGTAATTTGACATTAATTGATGATTCTCCTGTCTTACATGAACGCAATGCAGACAATGAGAAAGATAATTTTTAAAAAACGTTATAGATTTTTCTGATAATCCGAAGTAATGGAGTTGTACATATGGAGTAACATATCATAATTTATAGTATCAAATGCCTTGCTAAAATCAAGCAAAGCAAGACAGGTGATTTTTTTGTCTTCCATATTTACTCGAATATCATTCACCAGTTTTACAAGACATGTGGTTAAATTTTTTTCTGAAACCGGATTGACACTCTGGCATTATTTTATTTTCGATAAAAAATGAAAATAACTGCTTATGAATATGTTTCTCAATAATCTTAGAGACCACCGATAGAACACTGATTGGTCGTAAATCATTAAAAGTTTTTGGAACAGATACCTTGGCTAGAGGTCTAATAATAGATTTTTTCCAGATATCTGGATATACGCAATCAAGTGTGCAAGAGTTGATTATATTTATTAAATCGTCCTTAAAAAACGGTAAACAAAGCTTTAAATCTCTAATTGATATCTCATCATCTTCAATCGCATTAGATGATATGGAGTTTATTATAGTATTTAAAGTAGCATAATCAATTAATTGAAAATTAAGTTTATTAGAAAAAAAACAGTGGAAAATGTGTTATGTTGGTAGAATTGTATTTTATCTGATGAAGTGCTGTCATCTATGTCACTGCAATTTGCAAAACGTGTGTTAAGACCTTCTGCATTAGCTAAATCTGCAGGTATATCAACATTTGATTGGCTGGCTATATTAAGTTTTTTAGCCGTGTTCCAGAAGTCTTTATTCTATTTTTTTTTTCAAATCTTTAAAATAAGCAACCTTTTCTCTAATTATTGAATGTTTCGTGTAGTTTCTCAAATGTCTGTAGTACTGTAAGCGAGTATCTTTCTTATCTTTTAAATAATTATTCCGAGCCTTGTCCCTCAGCCTAATTAATAATTTAATATTACTTGTAATCCAGGGCATAAACGGTCTTTCACGATTTTTTTTACGTTTAATTAGGGCATGCTTATTAACGAGATACAAAATATAATCATTGAAAACTTCTAATTTTTCATTTATATCACTAATATAAAAGACTTGGTACCACGGTAATTGCACTGCGTCTTCTTCAAATTCATCAAGCGCAATAGCGTCATAATCTCTGAATTCGATATACTTTTCACAATTATTAAGGGTTTTTAGGTTAAATATAGAATACACTAAACAATGATCTGATAGTTCCTCAGAAATAGCGAAAGAATGGCTACAAATGCACGGGCATATTGATATTTGCTATTATGACATCTATTAATATTGATGAAGTATCGGTGATGCGCGTTGGTTGCATAATATGTTGAGCAAGGTTGAAAGTATCAATAAGATTAGTGATTCTGGATGAAAAACGAAACTCGCCCAAAAAATCTATATTAAAATCGCCTGAAAAAATCACACAATCGTAGAACGGCCCTGTCATACTCATTAGGTCACTTAAAGTATCGATAAAATTATCAGTGTCCAATGATGGCGCCCTATAAATATTTAAGAATAAAATATGTTTCAATATAATATACTTCAATGCACAGTAGGGAACGCAACGTTTATCGGCAGCCAAACGGGCCGCATGCTGTTCTAGAGAGCATAGTAAAAGATATATCAAAGGGCCAGACGTCTTAAAATACTTGTTTTTCCGACTTGTTACTCTCGTACTGCAACATTCTGAAAATATTAAAATTTTAAGTTTATCTTGAAATGGAGAGTATTCTAATAGAAAAGGGTTACTGAGACATTCAGTAAAATGTAAACATGTATATTTATTTCAATTTCCTTGAATTTCAAATTCCAAAATTTAATTTTCATTATACGTTCCGCATGCATGGAAAGTTGTTTTTACTGTAATTACGTTAGTTGTATATTTACTTGCTGGAAAACAGTTATTAGTTTAGTTTTAGTTTCTTGAGTATGCAGTATTCCAGGGAAGTAATTATATTTAACTTAAAATATGTTTTACAAAACATATTATGAACTTAACAAGTGACATTTTAAAATAACAAGATTAACGAAAGCTTTTTAATTAAAAAAATTAACTTATACAATATGTATATAAAAAGTATAAGTAAACTTAGTATACTTTTCTTATGTTATTTATTATTTTTCTTATATTTTTTCTTTATTCTTTGTATTTTTTTGCTTCCAACGTCGGAAAGAGATAAACTTTCCGAAACGTTAAGCATTTTTGTGTTCGTTAGGCAAAATGTTTATATCTGTAAACCTAACTTTTGACAAGTAGTTTCCGTTTGGATTAACGCAGACGTGTTTACAAAAAATAACTATATATTTTATTTTGTAGATTTTCTTGCAGTGGCGAAATAATAGATAAAGAATCATTTAAGTATTTATAAAAAATAGCATATTAGTTTTAATCACTGTTTTCTATGGTTTTAATATTATGTTACTTGTTTAAAATATTTTGTATGTTTATTATTATTTATTTCAGGTACAGGTTTAAAGCCCCACATACATTTCGGTTATTTCGCCCGGTTTTAAGCGAACGGCCAGGACTGTATAATTAAAAACGTCAACCAAACACACTCATATGTGTTTGGTCCAAAAAAACGGTGTGTTTGCAAAAAAAAGAAAGTAATGGTTTCTGTGGGAAGCTATGGAAAACTATTACAATTTTTTTTCTTTATTCCCTTTTTTACATCAATTAGTGCCACCATTGTTAGTAAATTGTTTCTTGAATCCATCCACGAGTCCACGACGCAGATAAATAAATAAATAAATGCTTTTATTGTCAAAAAATTTCACAATTTGTAGACATTTGTAAAGTAAACAAACAAAGTAAACAAACAAACAAACAAAAGAGAATACAAAACATTATACAAATAACATTATCAGTCTTATTGTTTAAAATAAACATTTATAAATGTTTACAATGTCAAAGAATGAAAAAAATAAAAATAAGATTCAAAAATATTTAGTAAGTTTATAGTAAATATCAATGACCTCTAGATAAGTCATTTACGGCGTAGAAAGTCTTGTCTAGTAAATAAGATTTCAATGCTTTGCGAAATGAAGAAAATGATGTTATGGATTTGATTTCAAATGGCAGGTGATTGTGCATTTTTTTTGAGTTGTATAATATTGAACTTTTAACTAACTCTGAGCGTAGGGTAGGTAGATTAAGATCTTGCTCCGCGTGGTGAGATGGCCTTTTTTTGAGAAGCTGATGCATTCTTACGTATTAGGCAAACGGATTCACAAACATAAATAAGGAAGGAAGAGTTAATATTTTTAATTTTTTAAATAAGTCCTGGCAATGAGTTCTGCTGTTTAGTTCCAGTGAATATCGAACAGCTCTCTTCTGGAGCTTAAAAATGCCGTCAAATTGAGTCGCACAACACGTACCCCAATATGGAATATCTGAGGTGCGACTCAAAAAGTGCATAAGAAACAGTTCTAGCCAGTGACAAGTTAAGCTCCTTAGAAACAGATCTTAATGCAAAACAGGTAGAGCTTAATTTTTTGATAAAATAAACTGTGGAAAATGAGACAGTGTGTGGAGGTTATTTTCTTCTGCTTTTTATCCGCGCGTTTTGACTGCACGGTTAAAACCGAGCTAAATAACCGATGTGTATGGAACCTTAAAAGCAGGTGTCTTGGAGTATCAACCATTAGAGAAATTAATTTAGAAGATTAAAACATAATATTATTTATTATAGGTGTGTACACGAATATGAGCTACTCTACCACACGTTCGGCAGACACCACTTCGGACAGATAACGGCAAATTTGGACGTCTTTCTACGAAGGTTCAATGAAATACAGTTTTGGGTCGTGACAGAGATCTGCATGATTGGTAGTTTAAGTAAACGAGTCGGTGTTTTGAGAAAATTCATTAAATTAGCAGCATAGTAAGTATAATTATTTTGTAACGTTTTTATTATACAGGGTGTCCCAATATTCCGTGGACATCAAAGTACTACGTATTTTTGAAATCAAAATAGGTTCATTGGACACAATGTCAATACAATCTCTATACAAAACTGCTTCGTTGGTCCGCTGGAGGACATCAAACTTTAAAAAAATAAACACATTTTTTCAGATATTTTAAGAACAGTTATCCCGATTTGAATGAGATTTTTGGGTGTGTATGTTTTGCTAAGTGCTTTAACATTTGACTTTCACAAAATTAAATTATCCTTTCACGATATTATAAATATCACAATTAAATTATGGATAATCTATTTGGCGAAAATATGAAATTTTATATTAGTATCACAAATTATATTTGACGATAAGATTCATAAAAACTTCAAAAAAAAATAAATAATTTTTAAATTAATTAATGTTCGAATTTATTTTTGATTGATACCCTCTAACGGACAAGCAAAGTACTTTTGTATAAAAGTAGATTATGCGCAATTAACTTATTTTGGTCTGAAAATACGAGCCCTAACAACTATATGTTGGGACAAGAGATCTTTTTTTGCAATAAAAATAGTAATTTGTTAAAACGACTCAATTTATTTTGTTTATTATTCTAAATTCAAACATTACAATATTATCTAGACAATTTTACTATATTTTTATAACTTTGCAAACAAATCACTTTTGATAATAGCTTATTTTGCCAAAATCAAGCCAAATTTGCTGACAACTATATATTAGGACAGCACAATAAGAAATTTGTTCAATACGGAGTTAAATCACCTTTCGCCTTAACAACTGCCTGAATTCTTAATGGCATTTTATTTACCAAAGATTGGCACATTTGAGGAGAAAAATTATCCCAAATTTCCTGCAGTTTTGTCCGCAAATCAAAAATTGTTCATTGAGTGTGGTTTCTTAAATATTGATCATTTTATGCCACACAGTTTCTATAACATTGAGGTCTGGACTACTTGCAGGATGGGATAGAACTTTTGTATTAGTATTACCGAACCAATTTTTAGTTGATTTTGCTGAATGGCACGATGCTCCATCTTGTTGGAAAATATAGTCTTCGTTTGGAAACAATTCTTGAGCACTAGGCTAAAGTGAGGTCTCAAGTATATGTTGATATTTTTAGGCGTTAACAGTGCCATATATAAAATTTAATTTGCCCAAACCTCTTGCTGACATGCAATCCCAAACCATAATCCCCTTAGGAAATTTAACAACCCTCTTTAAGCAATCTTTATGAAAGGCTTCTGCTTTATTTCGTATTATTCGTTTTCGATGATCTCCAACGCAAACATCAAATTTAGACTCATCGCTAAATATGACCTTATTCGAATAATTTTGTGTCCACGATAATTTAGATTTTGCCCAATTGTACCGATTTTTCTTTTGAATTTTTGTTTTTTTTTCGGTTTGTTGTTTTCTGTCGGTTTTTCTAAATTTTGTCTAAATAAGAATTTGTATCAATAATCTTCAGATAATTGATTATCTACACAAAAGAAAGTTTACCTTGTGAAACCCCAGACCGCATTTACGGATATATTTTCGGCAACATTCTCTTGATATATTTAAACCAGTTACAGTATTCCATTTAACTGTTACTTCGCGAAGAGGACTTGCAAATTTTAACTAAATTTCGTAAATCTCTCTGAGATACAACTTTTGGCCTTCCCGAACTTTTACCTCTAACGTCTACATTGGCAGATTCGCCATATTTTTTTATTATATTAAAAACCGTGGTTCTTGGAATACTTAAATCATCAGAAATTTTTCGAATTGTTTTTTCCGTACAGTATTGACGAATGATAATTTCGCGTAGTTTTTGATTTGTAGCTTTTCCACGAACCATTACTTTGAATTAAATTAACAAAATTGAAAATTAAACAAATTAAAATTACTTACAGTAAATCTCACTACACAAAGTATCGAGTCACTTACAAGCTGTCAATGCTGAAGTAAACAGTTTGCGACATTTGTGACGTTTATAGCAAAGCCGCCTATGATGATATTAATTATTTAAAAATACTTGTCCCAACATTTAGTTGTCAGCAAATTTGTCCCTTTCATGAACAAAATCCGCTACTATAAATATGGATTGATTTACAAATTCATAAAAATATTGTCAAGTTGTTTAGGATATATGGCTATGTTTATATTTAAAAAATTAAACATATATTTTTCAGTCATTTTGAAAAACCAGGGCAATAATTCCAAAATATGACCTTGTCCCAACATATAGTTGTTAGGGCTCGTACGTAGTTGTTCTATATCCACAAAATATTGGAACTCCCTCTATATTTTATAGGTCTGCTTTTTTCACAAAAACTATGCAACGTGACGTTTTTTACAAGAGACAAAAACAATGTAGTTAATACTAGAGTAGCTTATACTAAAACTGGCCGTCGCGTTGCGTCGGTTGAGAAAAAAATCGGTCGTCGCGTCGCTTGACTTGAAAAATATTTATAGTAAAATGTATGTAGGGGTGGGTCATTTAGAAAAACATAGATACCCAAAATCGCATTCAAATCGGAATAACAGTTCTTAAAAGATGTGAAAAAATGTGTTTATTTCTTTAAAGTTTGATGCCCTCTAGCGGACAAAGAAGCATTTTTGTATAGAGGTAAATTGTGTTCATTGAACTTATTTTGATTCCAAAAATACGTTGTAGTTCTATGTCTAAGGAATATTGGTACACCCTGTATGTGTATCAGGGGGAAATCTAAGCACTGTAGAACTGCGCAATTATTTAAAAAACCGCCCTTTTAACAGTGAAATAAAGACTTTTTCATCTCTTTATTTCACTTTATATTTTTTGACAAAATTAAAATTATAATATGTCATAAAACTACTTTTTCTGATAAAGAAATAATCAAAATTATATCAGAAAAGTTCAAAACTATAAAATAAAATATAAAACGGATAATACTAAAGAAACTTTTTAAATGAATGAAATATTCATTCTTAAGGAAACCGTATTACTAGAACGACTAGTAGGTTAAGGTTCTTTTTTATGTCCCTTATGCTAAATGTACGTTTGGGTACGAAAGCTGGTTTATTCATAATTTACTTGATTAGCATTTCCGTTTTATACTACTTTTAATTTTACTAAAATCTAACACGAATACGTGGTTGCCTGTTAAGTTGCATAAAATAAAACAGAAACGAACAAATTCGAAATAAAGTGTTTTATTGCTTTTCGAAATATTCGCTCTTAAGTACAGGGTCCGGCAATAGTGCGTCGGGCATCTGTAGCTCCTAGAATAAAAAACTTGCGAATTTTGTATAAGTATCAACCTAAAGTATGTACTAAGATGTATTTCAAGAAAATATTATAACTGCTATAGGGTGGCTCAAAAAAGTGTGAGTGGATTTGGACGATTTTTTTTAAATTAAACACCCTGTATATTATTGCATTTTTGGCTTTTTTTCAGATTACTTTACATAATCCTAAGATATGAGTAAATATATTTCGATAATTTCAGAGATATTAAAAAATAAATCAAAAATATATATTTTCAGCCCTCCTTAAAAAAATTATTAAAAATATAAGAACTGTGCTGAAATCAAAACTATATTAGGTATTTACTTTAGCTGTTCTGCTGTTACTCTGCTCTAAATATAGTAATCGTAAATCATACAGGATGTTCAATATTCTACGCCAAACTTTCTAAAATATAAAATATTTTTTTGTTTTTTTTAAACGGAACAATCTGTATATTATTTTTTATTAGAAGAAAAGTAAAAATGAACATTTTTCGTATTTAAAGTATTTCAAAATTTTTAATAGTTTTGCAGATACACGCAGTATTATTTTATATTGCGCTTACAATGGTAAATTACGGGAGAAAAATCATTGGGTGGCTTTGATAAAAATTTACTGTGGAAAATGCCATATAATATATAAAACCGCGAATATCTGCAAAACCGTTAAAAATTTTAAAATACTCTAAATACAAAAAATGTTCATTTCTTAATTCTCCATCTATTGAAAAATATACAGGGTGTTCCATTTAAAAAAAACGAAGAAAAATTATTATATATTTTAGAAAATTTGGCGTAGAATTCTGAACATCCTGTATGATTTACGATTTCCATATTTATAACAAAGTAAGTACAGACCATATAAAGTAAATACCTAATATAGTTTTGATTTCAGGACAGTTCTTGTATTATTAATAATTTTTTTAAGAAAGGCTGAAAAATATATAATTTTTATTTATTTATTAATATCTCTGAAAATATCGAAATATGTTTAGTCATATCTTAAGGCGCACTCTCACTCGATTGGTCTACTTGGCAACTACGCCAATATTTGCGTACTTGGCAAGTAACACCACCAGTCCACACTTTGTAAACAACATCGGCAAGTGAGGCGCTCACACGACATGTCCATTTCAAGAAGTACGCCAGCACAAACATTGTTTAAATCCTTGGCAAGTAAACAGTATAGTGGCATCGATGGATACCGGTCCGGTCGTTCCGAAATTGTCGTTGCTAGTGATTCTTTTTTCTTTTTAAGTTCTCTTACTGTACACTGCAATACGATTTCTATGTTCTTGCTGTTTGGCCATTCATATGAAGGGCTTATTGTCGTATAAATCCATAAATTCCAAAACAACATAATTTGAAGACTACACGAGAAAAACCAGTTATGTCCATTTTAATTGGAGCTGAGAAAAATGCAATTTAGTGTTTTTAAAGAAATATGTTATTTTCTGTTGAATAATTAGAAAAACATATATTACTACCAATTCTGAATTATTAATATTGTGAATTATCGCCATATTCTACCTTATACCGAAATAAAAATGTCAAAATGCAAAACAAAACAGGGAAAAAACAGGGGATGTCCAACTAAAGGTTGTATAAAACCTAAATCTAAACTATTATTTTTTTGTTGTCGAAAGAAAATTAACATTTAAGTCGGTTTTTATTACAATACATAAATTTATATCATAATAATACTAATTGC